GGTGACAACAAGGTGACAGGGGTAGGCCTGGAGCAGGGTGAAGAGCGTGCTGACACAAGGAGCCAAGGGTTGTGTTGTGGCCGTTGCTGGATGCTGGAAGTTCTAGCTGGAGCGTGCACTGTGACATCAGTGCCAGGAGCCCAGGCCCAGGCTGAAGTGGACAAGGGAGATGCTAGAATGATGGAATCCCTGGGTGCTTGGGCTTGGAAGGGACCCTAAAGACCATCTTGTTCCAAGCTGAGCAATCTTCCCCCAGAACAGGTTGCTCAGAGCCCTGCTCCCAGCTGGCCTTGGATGTTGCCAAGGATGGAGCATCCCCAGCCTCTGTGCCCAGCCTGGGCCAGTGGCCCAGCAGCCTGAGTGGAAAAGAGCAGCTGCATTAGATCCAACTTCAAGCTCACTCCTGCAGTTGAAAGCCTTCTCCTCTCTGTGCCCATCTTTCCTAGAGCTGCAGGGAGGCCTCCCCAGCCCCTTCTCTTTCCAGGCTGAGCATCCCCAGCCCCACATGGACAGCACTCAGATCCGTGGGGGTCGAGGCTAACGGGTGGCAAACGGCATCAGGAAGTGAGAGATGGAAGCTTTTGGAGATGGAAGGTTTGCCTCTAAATGTAGAAAAGAAATGAAAGTGGAGGGGAAAATGGTGGGACTCAGGCACTGTTCTAACTGGGGAAGATTTTCTTTTCCTCTTTTCTGTCGTGCTGCCCCAAGTTTTGTTGTTTGAAAGGAGGTTTGGCAAAATATTCATTGTCTTCTCCATTAATAAAAAAACCCCACAAAATTCCAGTAAAATCTGTCAAAATTCCTACAAAAATCCCACACATTGCAGAAAAAATGCACAAAACTGCAGAAAAAATCCACAAAATTCCAGAAGAATTCCACAAAAAGTACTGGAAAATCCCACAATTCTTTAATTTTTATTTAAATCCCTCAACATTCTAGAAAAAATGCACAAAATTCCACAAAAAACCCAAGAAAATTCTGTAAATCTCCTCAAATTCCCACAAAATCGAACCAAAATCCCTCAAAATTCTTGAAATCTCCTCAAAATACCACAGAATCCCAGAAAAACTCCACAAAATTCCCTAAATCTATTCAAAATCCCAGCAAATTCCAGAACTATACCACAAAATCTCCTCCAGTTTCCACAGACGGCCAGAAATAACCCTCAAAATTCCAGAAAAAAATCCACAAAATTGCAGAAAAATCCTTCAAAGTTCCACAAAATCACTTCAAAATTCCTCGATATTCCCTAAATTTTCACAAAATCCCACAAAATTCCAGAAAAAATTCCATGAAATTCCCTAAATCTCCTCAAAGTCCTTACAAAATTTCAGAAAAATCTCTCGGTTTCCCAAATCACCTCAAAATTCCTCGATATTCCCTAAATTTTCTCAAAATTGCATAAAATTCAAAAAAAACCTACAAAATTCCAAAAGAACTCTACAAAAATATTGAAATTTTCTCAAAATTCCTCGAAATTCCAGAAAAATTCCACAAAAATCCCACAAAAGTCCACAAAAATCCAGGAAAATCTCACAGAATTCCTTAAGTCTCTTCAAAATCCCACAAAATTTCACAAAAAATGTTCAAAATTTTACAAAAAAATCCACAAAACTCCAGTAAAATCTCATAAATTACACAAAAATCTCACAGAATTCAAGAAAAATTGCACAAAATTTGCAGCAAAATCTGATAAAATGATACAAAAATCCCAAGAATTCCACAAAATCCCACGTAATTCTACAAACATGCCACAGAATTCTTCAAATTTTCATAAAATCTACAAAAATCCAGAAAAAGTCCCACAAAATACTTTACATTTTCTCAATATCCCGCAAAATTCCAGAAAAAACCCACAAAATTCCAAAAAAGTCCCAAGAAATTCCAGAGAAATTCCACAAACTTCCACAAAAATCCCACAAAATTTCCTACATCTTCTCAAAATCCCACGTCTGATGGACTGACATTTCAAAAAACAAACACCTAAGGAAGCTGAAGCTGCTGGAGGCTGAGAGGAGTTTTTCTCCTGGCCCATAAGAGGCCATTGCTGAGAAGTGCCAGCAGTTTTGCCCATTGCAAAGTGCCATCAAGCTGGGAACAGCACTTGAAGCCCTAAGGCCGGCAATTTCTCTTGGCTCTCTTTGCTTTGCGCCTTTTGAAGAGGTAGCAGGGCTCGGCTTCAGCCTCCTTCCCCCCAGGCCAGCCAAGGCCACGGGAGGGGAGCGGGGCTGGCCGCAGCTCTGCGCTTCCCGGGGAGGATGGAGACTGGCAAGTGCCAGGAGCCCCTTCTCAGAGGCTTGGCTGGGCCTTGCACAGCGGGGCTGCCGGGCCAGGCCGCTCCTGCCTGGCCTGCACTTTGTGCCGCTGCTCAGTTTCACCACAGGCTGCCACTAAAGGCAGGGAAAGATAGCAGCTTGCAGCTTTGTGCTCAGATAATGGCCACACTCCCCACAGCAGCCATGGGGAAAAATCATCTGTGTTCCTGAATGCCAACAATTTCATCAGATTTCACTGGAATTTTGTGGGATTCTCTGGAATTCTGTGGGATTTAGAGGAGAGTTGAAGAATTTTGACGGACTTTTCTTAGATTTTGTGGAAATTTGTTGAGATTTTGTGAGATGTTTCTGGAATTTGTTTGATGTTTTCTGGAATTTTGTAGGATATTGAGTAGATTTTGTGGGATATTTATGGAATTTTGTGGAAATTTCTGTGGGATTTTTGTGATTTTGAGGAGACTTGAAAAATTTTGAGGGAATTTTCTTAGATTTTGTGGAAATTTGTGGACATTTTGTGGAATTTTGAAAAGAATTAGTGAATTTTGTGGGATTTTTCTGGAATTCTGAGGGATTTTGAGGAAATTTGAAAAATTTTGAGGGATGTTTCTTAGATTTTGGGGGAATTGGTGGAGATTTTGTGAGATGTTTCTGGAATTTTTGGTATTTTAAGAAAATTTTAAGAATTCTGTGGTATGTTTCTGGAATTTTGTGGGATTTTTTTGGAATTTTGTGAAATTTTCCGGAATTTTGTAGGATTTTGAGGAAATTTGAAGAATTTGGAGGGATTTTTCTTAGATTTTGAGGGAATTGGTGGAGATTTTGTGAGATTTATGGAGATTCAGTTTGATGTTTTAGGAGTTTTGTGGGATATTGAGTAGATTTTGTGGGATATTTTCAGAATTTTGTGAGATTTTTGTGGGATTTGTGGGATTTTGAGGAGACTTGAAGAATTTTGAGTGATTTTTCTAA